GGGGAAAATCCAACATTAGAAATTACATTTGGTCTGGACATTTCCCCCCTATAAATAAATACCTGGGCAATGCCAGGTTATGAAGTAGTATATAATAAATAAACATCAGTGTAAAGCTGGAATGTAGGAAAATCAATTATGAACATCACAGGAACTAATCCTAATTTCTCTAAAGCTATCCTAAGCAAATAGATTTGCATTACTTTTCTCCCCTCACAAGAAGATGATAATTTAAAAATATTTACCTCAAGTCCAGAAAAAATAATATTTGGAGAATGTTGCACATAGACTCTCGTATTGTAAGCGCTATCTTTTTTATTTCTGACCAACATTTGGACCCAGAATTTCAAATTATTCTGTTTGATGATGAATGGAGATAAACTGAAAAATGTAAAAAAAAGATAAAGAGCACAGATCATAAACAAGTGTAACACAGCTCTTGCTTTTTACATCTTAAACTATATCTTATATTAAGTCAGCAGCATATAATAAAGTGGAAAACCCCCTCAGAAAATTAGGTGGACATTTTTTGGACAGTTGCAGAGTCACATGGATTGTGGAGCCTTAAAATGGATTGTTATAATATCTATTTACTGTTAGAAATGGGATAAAATTTTATTACTTAATCATTCTAGAATTAAAAAAGAAAAAGTGTAAGCTTGACATTACATTACATTGCTAAAAACAACAGCTTACTATTTTAACTTTCTCCCAAGTAATGTTTAGTTTTGCAAAATAACTGTGATGTGACACCACATACTATGATTTCCCCCTTTTCTACAAACACTCAACCATAAATGGAGTAGGGAAATTTGCAGTGCAATGGTGAAGTTTCTTGAATGAGAACCAAAACATTTTCTTCTTCCTCCTCCTCTTCCTCCAGGAAAAAACAGTCCAGTTGCCTTTTGAAGAAAAAAGCACCTTTGAGCAGGGATGGGCTGTTACGGGTTCACCCAGGTTTGGGAGAACCCGTAGCTAATGTTATGGCTGGTTCGGAGAACTTCCAAATCCTATCCCTGGCTGGTCCCGCCCACCCTCCCCTCCCAGGAGTCTCCACGTGGCCCGTTTTGGATGCAAGGTAAGTGCAGGGCCCACGCAGAAACTTGGGGAGGGGGAAAAATGGGCCTCCTGGAAGTTCCGGAAGGCTGCAAACAATCCTGTTTCTGGCCTCCAGAGGACTTTTGGAGCCAGGGGGAAGCAGTTTTCACCCTCCCAGAGGCTCAAGCAAAGCTTCAGGAGCCTGGGGAAGATGAAAATGCCCCCTTCCATAGTGCGGAAGGCCGAATAGACCACGCCCACCATGGTCACGCCCACCCAGCAACGGGGCAGAGAAACCATTGCTGAAATTTTTGAAGCCCACCCCTGCTTTGAGACAACTATGAACTGGATGATTGAGAATCTCCACAGACAATAACTTCTTAAGATTATGTGTAGTTAACCCATGTCTTGCAGATCACATACATAGATGGCATACATAGTAATAATCAAGAATATACAGAAACCACTAAACAAACTGACTTAAAAGTAAAAACAAGATTAAAAAACAAGATTGAAAAACAATTTAAAAACACTCAGATGTTCTTTGTGATTACACAGTATTTAGAGCTACTGCTGCCCATTCCTTGTCACAATTCAGATGATCAATCAGCAACTAAGTGTGAACACTCCTGTCCTATTCAGTTTGGCTGAATTTACCTTTTCCCAAACATAAATCATGTTGATTTATTTAATCACATTAAATGCAGCCCATCTGGATGGCATACATAGTAATAATCAAGAATATACAGAAACCACTAAACAAACTGACTTAAAAGTAAAAACAAGATTAAAAAACAAGATTGAAAAACAATTTAAAAACACTCAGATGTTCTTTGTGATTACACAGTATTTAGAGCTACTGCTGCCCATTCCTTGTCACAATTCAGATGATCAATCAGCAACTAAGTGTGAACACTCCTGTCCTATTCAGTTTGGCTGAATTTACCTTTTCCCAAACATAAATCATGTTGATTTATTTAATCACATTAAATGCAGCCCATCTGGATGGCATACATAGTAATAATCAAGAATATACAGAAACCACTAAACAAACTGACTTAAAAGTAAAAACAAGATTAAAAAACAAGATTGAAAAACAATTTAAAAACACTCAGATGTTCTTTGTGATTACACAGTATTTAGAGCTACTGCTCTTTATCTTTTTTTTACATTTTTCAGTTTATCTCCATTCATCATCAAA